CGCCTCCGAGCGATTCCCCCCATCTGAGCCGATGCGTGCGCGGGGTCGCCCGAGGTCGCGGGCGGAGTTTGAGCTTGGTCGCTCAGGGTCCCCAGAAGCGGGTGGAAGGCTGGGCGATGGCCCCGCCCCTGCTGCAAGGAAAGGGACTGGTGCAGGCACTGAAGCATGAGGCTGAAGTCCGTCGGATTGGCCGCAAGGGGCGGCTCTAACCCGTCGGCGCCGCCCGCCTCGGCAAAGCCGTCGACCGCAGCGGGATGGGCTAGCCCAGGCGGCGGCGGGGGGCCCATCGGTCCGGAAGCGGACGAAGGGGCCCGAGGGACAGCAAGAGAGCGCGCCTTCTCCCACGCCGAGACCAGCGCGGAGGTGGGTCCCTTGGGGCGCGCGGAGACCCGATGTGGGGCCACGGGCGCGTGGGACAAGACGGCCTCGATCCCCGCAGGATCCAGCCCGAGGCGCGCCGCCTCGTCGCTGAAAAGCTGAGGCACCTCGGGCCGAGCGCTCCGGGCAGCCGGAGCGGGGCCCAGCGGTTCGGGTCCGCCGACCATCGTGGAGGCCGCGTGGGCTGCAAGCAAGGCGCGCATTTCGGCAGCTACCTCGGCGCGGGTCATGGGAGCCCCGTCGTCCAGAGACGCCGCAGGAGCACCAGGAGCAATCGGAGCAGGACCCGCGACCCGTGGCGGCGCGGCGGCGCCAGCGCGCTTGGCGGGCGGGCCGCGCGGCGCTCCAGCGACCGCGGGGGCTCGCGCACTTGGGGCCGCGCGGTCGGCTTCCCCGTCGGCCGCGAACCCCTCGGGCTCCTCCATCTCGTCGGCAGAGTGGTAGGGGGTAGCCCGATCGGCCCCTGGGAGAGGCTCTTCCCCTGCGGTAGGCGGGGCGCCGTGCAAACGAGCGTAGCCCTCGCGAAGCACCCGAACCCCCGAAGGATGCGGCCAATAGACGCGGCTGCGCACCTCGGCGAAGGGAACGATGCCTGCGTCGTCGCCGACCTCTAGAGGGTACAGCGACTCGAGCTCGAGCTCGGCAACCTCGATATCTATAACGAGGACGGATGCGGTAGTGGCGAGCGGCCGTGAAGCGGCCCCCTGGAGCTGGACGTCCACTAGCTGGAAGGGGCCTATCATCCCAGCAAAGCCATCCGCCTCGGCAGCCTCGAGCTCCGCTGTAGAGCGAAAGGCACCAGGCAGGGCCAGCAGGATGCCCCCTTCTCGAGAGGCGAGGGGGATAGCCGCCCAGCTGGTGTCGCCGTCGTCTAGGCGCCATCGTGCGTAGTCGCGCGCCGTGGGCGCAGCGAAAGGGTAGAGCTCGGGCCAAAGGGGCCCTCCGCCAACTGGTGGCAGCTCCGCCATCAGTGGGCGCCGCCGTGGACGCCGCCGCCCGCACGCTGGGCGTCTGCCCGCTCGAGCGCTTGAGGTCGAGGCGGAGCCCCGTAGGCCAGCGCTCGCGCCGCACGGCGGTCCTGCTCAGGTGAAGCAGAAACCGCGCCGCGCGGCCAGGCGGAGGGCCAGAGCCTCCGCCACACGTACGGGCCCAGCAGCCCGAGGCAGCAGCCCGCGCAGGCGCTGCAGGCGGCCGTCACCCAGAGGAGGGCGGCGACCGTGCTGAGCAGCCAGGGAGAGACCCCGCCGCTCAGGTCCACCGCCAGCCCGAGGCAGACGGTGGGGCAGGTGGAACCCGCCGAAGGGAGAGGGCAGGAGGCCCCCTCACCCTCGGACGAGTCCGCCTGCTGGATGGACCAGGCAGGCGATGGAGGCCCCTGGTCCTGAAGCACAGAGAGGGGGGCAGCCACGAGCCGCTCGTAGAGCGCGGCCCGCAGCCCCCTGAACAAAATCTCCCCAGCGCCCTGGAGAGCCGCTTGTGCGACCGCCTGCATAAGGCGCCCGCACGCGCGGCCGACGGGGGGCACTTGGGCAGAGAAGCTGCGGAGACAGCAGGAGCTTGCTCACAGAGAATAGAAGAGGCAGGAGGAGGAGGGCCAGGAGGAGGAGGAGGACGAGGATGCGGCTCTCCGACGGGACCTTGCAGCGGGGAATCTCCATTCCACGCTGCAGCCTCTGATTTCCACAGTGTGTGCGTGTGCGTGTGTGTGTGTGTGTGTTTTTGTGTGTGTGTGTGTGTGTTTTTGTGTGTGTGTGTGTTTTTGTGTGTGTGTGGCTTTTCCACCGGGTGGAATCGGGACATCCAAACATACCTGCTGTCATCGACTGGCGTGTAGTCCCGAGTCGCGCACGGGGGGGGCCCCGCCCCTGCAGATCGGTGTGCCGCCTCTCGGGGGCTGCAGCGGCCCGCCTCGGGTGCCACTTCTCTCCCTGGGTGTCCGTGCGGGCGGGAGGGTGCCTCCCCCCCCCCCCCCTTGGCGGCGCGCAGAGGGGGCTAGGGGGGAAGGGGGGAATGCTCCTTAGAAGAAAGCTGCTTCTTAGAAGGCGCGGGCCTGACATCTACAGACAAGGCCCACGCCTTGTAAGAAGCAGGGGTGCTTCTAAGAAGCCTAACCTCCTCACCCCATACCCCCATCTGCGCGTGGCCGACCCCCTCGGGATCCACCTCACCAGCGGGCGTTGCCCCCTGGGCCTAGCTTCCCCAACACGCAACACGCAACACGTTGACACGGAGCTCGACGCGCAGAATGAAAACGTGGGTCTGGTGCGATACGCTCGCCAAGACGTGGGCCCACACGCTGAGCATTCACACGGACGTCTTGAACACGGCGCGTGTTGCGTGTCAACACGTGCCCATCAGGGCAGCTACGCCTCCGAGCGCGGTGCCCCTTGCCGAGGCCCGAACATCCTGCTGCAACCAATGCCGGCTGGAGGAGGGGGAACAGGGACCGCCTGAGAACCAAGACGTCCGAAGTCGAGGAACGCATGCACGACACCGCTGCCGAGGCACAACTGGAACCCTCGGCCCCACCTGTGCCTGGGATGGCCCGACCCGTGTCCACCAATGCTTGGGATGGCCCGACCCGTGTGCATCCGTGACGTTCACGGGGCCCGCGATGTGGAGAACGCGCGCACTCTAACCTACCTCACGGCACCACACGTCCTGGGAGGGGGAGCGAGCCACAAGAGCGGGCGTCCGATGGGCGAAGCCGGCACCTAGTTTGGCCTCCCTTGAGGGGCGGCACCGAACCTCCAGGAAGGTCCCCCGCCTGCGAAGCGTCTCTCGCCTCATGTCTGCCGGCGTCTGAGGATCTGCCACCTCTGCAGATATCAGGACGGGTATGGTGTTGTGTGATGCGACTGGTTCGGGATGTGCGTTCCAGGAGTTCTAAAATACGTCGCGGCCCTTACTTTTGCAGCACGTGCGGGGCATGAGGGAATCTGGCGCCCCCTGGACATCCTGGAACGTATCATTATCATGACCCCTTGCAGGAGGAGGAGGAGGAGGAGGAGCAGGAGGAGGAGGAGGAGGAGGAGGAGGGGAAGGACGAGGAGGGGGAGGAGATGAGGAGGAGGAGGAGGGAGGGAGGAGGAGGAGGAGGAGGAGGAGGAGAGGGGGATGAAGGAGGCAGGAGGGGAGGGAAGGGGGAGGAGGAGGAGGAGGGGGAGGAGGAGGAGAGGAAGGGAGGAGGAGGAGGGAGGAGGAGGAGGAGGAGAGGAGGAGGAGGGAGGAGGAGGAGAGGAGGAGGAGGAGAGGGTGGAGGACGAGGAGGAGAAGGAGGAGGAGCAGAACGCACGGGACATCCTTGAGCGTATCACTACCATGACCCATTGCTGCTTCTCGCGGAGATTGTCCTCCGGTATTATGCCCCCCCTCCGATGTTGTCCTTCC